CATTATAACAATCACAGTTATAGCTTCCAAAGTTTATAGCACACTGACTATAGCAACTCATAATAGATACTCTTTTGGCGCGTCGAGTTGGTTATATTTATAGGCGTGTGGAAGCGTTCTTGAAATTTCAGTTTTACATAAAAATACTGAACTACACTTAAGCGTTTACTTACATGCATATATTGTTGATTCTTACTATCAAGAATCTTCTAAAACTTTGGAGAATAGACGGGAATTTCGCAATACATACTTAACAGTATAAGCTATGTATATTTCTAAATATAAATTTAATCTAAACAAACGTCGATATTAAAATAAATATATTATAACAAATTCATTAAAGTTTTAACATGAACAAATTCAAAAAGTTTGAATCATTAATTATGCCACCGATAATCATAGGGAAAGTATTCCCGAAATATGAGAAACAAAGTATTCAGAAGTGGTTGTCAAAAAAGAATATCTAAGAGAGATAAAAAACCCTATAGACATTTTATTGGTTGTCATAACAGGAAAGCCCAAGAGAAATGAACATCTATATGTACATTCAACTGTCATATAAACAACATTCAAAATACCTTAATTATGAGAAATCAAATGGGTTGCAATAGGAACAAAAATCCAAAGATGCCAAGCATTAAATATTCAGTCAGTTGTTATAGAAACAAAAATCAAAAGATGCGAAACATTAAATATTCAATTGGTTGTCATAGGAACAAATTGAAGAGATGTTAGCTATTAAGCTTTTCGATCTGGCTTCGTCGACTTCGCTTTAGTCGACCTTATAAAAATATTATTTCTATTATATTTTTATCAATGCGAATCTCAGCAGTTTTGAAAAACATTCTTGTTAGGTTTCTATGATAAGCACATTTTCAGATACTTTATATAATAATTAAAAATTATTAATATCAAACTACCATATACATGTTACTATATGCAAATGAAAAACAACAACAACTTAATACGCCAGATAGAAAGAAATTTAAATAATAAATTTAATACATTTTAATGAAATATATTTTAAAGTAAACTTTAACAGCAATAAAATGAATTACTTAAATAGTCCATAAAATAAGCTTCGACTATTTTCGTATAGAAGTTAGAAAATAACAATCGTTGCCTTATTATCAAAAAATATCTATATTTTTCAGTACATTTGATATCGAAGTAGGCATTAAACATGAAATGGTTGCGCATTAGAGTTATTTATATATACTACAGAATTATTATGTGGGAATTTTAACTGGCCCTCAAATTACCGACTTCTCTTTTACACTGTTCGCTACTGGTGGGGTCCATATCTTATATCTTACTAAGTAACTTTATGTTTTGTCTATTAGAGCATTCTACCTAAAGAGCGAACACACTAATTTTCTTTGCAAAATATACAGGGAGAATTAAATAGGATTAACTGCATTACTGATTATATTTGTGTTTACATTTTTTGGGTTATTAGGGATCCTGCAACCAAAAAGGTGATGGGCCCACAAACAACTAAGTACATAAACAGTTTACAAATATGAGTTAAAAAACCCCGTATGGACTCCACTGGAAATTCTGGGACTATGCACGAGCGAGAAACACAACTTTAATGGTGTTAATGAAGACAGCAATATGATTTTTATTGTAGAAGAGGAAAAGCAAAGACTAAAGATGACTTGTACTTTGTTCTGTTCTAGAGAACAAACAATTTTCTCTACAGGATATCCAAACGTAAGCAAAATTTCGGAGAAATGTCACTCTTCTATACTTTATAAAATCAGACTCTATTTACAAGTTTTATTTTACTAACTTATCTTTTATCTCTATCTCCAGAAAATCAGGATGATACAGTTTATATTGTAAATGGGGTGAAATATGACATTAGACACAGCATCAAGTGCAAGTTGTGTGTCTCACGATAGCAATGAGGAAGAATTTGCTAAAGAGATGAGTGAAACTGATCTAAACAAAATATAAAAAATGCAGTAAACCATCATGACTGGCACAATGTTTCATGATTGCACAAGCAATCATGGGTTTCATTTGTGCGACGGTATGTCCATAATGACACACCAGCATTGTTTCTGTTTTTCGGGTAAGCTTTTAGAAGGTCAGTTGTGTTGAATATACAACGGAGAACTAAGATTCTCGGTCAAATCTGCATCCGTATACTGAAGATCATATGCAAATTAGCGTTAAAGAGCACCTTCAAATAATTATTGATATTAAATGTAAATACCACGTTTAATATATATATATATATGTCTGTCTTTTACCTTCTATGGTCCAACTGATAGCTATGATAATCGATGTTGCCCTGTTACCTTCCATGGTCCCACTGATAGCTATGGTCATCGATGTTGCCCTTTTACCTTCCATAGTTCAACTGATAGCTATGATATTTATGTTGCCCTTTTACCTTCCATGGTCCAACTGATAGCTATGATTATATATATTGCCATTTTATCGTGTATGGTCCAACCGGTAGCTATTATCATCTATGTTGCTTTTTTACCTTCCATGGTCCAACTGATAACTATGATAATCTATGTTGTATTTTTACCTTCCGTGGTCCAACTAATAGCCATGATGATCCTAGTAACGGTAGCTCAGACTACATGGATTATTTATTTATATTTGTTTAAAATGTCAGCCAAAACTTATAGTAAGATTTTGTTAAATGTTGTTTCCTGGAATCCTGGAGAGAGAAACAAGAATGGTAATAATGTTTTATTTAAAGCGATTTAAAAACAAGAATTATAACCTTATTTCTTGATTGTAAATAGTTTGAATTCTGTATATTTTAATTTTAGTCCTGTTTCAGTCTTCTTGAGGTCATAAAGACCTTAAATAGGGCTATCAGAATCGATAAGACTAATAAACAGACTCTGTGATCATTCAGGAAACAAAACAACAACAACTGATATTGACGCCAGTGTAGGTAAATTTAATTTTATTCATTATCGTTTACCGGGTAAAAGACAAACATTTACAAAGATAGACAGATGTTAAAGAATACGGTAAATACATACTTTATCGAATTCAATTATTAAAATACAATATTTATTTGTTGCTTGAATATTATCGGTCAATGACTCATAAATAATTTTAGCAAATACCCTCTTTCAGGTATGAGTAGGGTTATCAGAATCACTAAAAATAACAACCAAACACTGTGTTAATTTATGGAAACAAAACAAACTGAGATATGAGGGTCAGAATAGACAAACTTTACTTTATTTATTAGGGTTTATTGGGTAGACACGTTGATAGATAGAAGACAAACATTTACTTAGATATATAGATGTTAAAGAATACAGTAAATACGTATGTTATTGAATTAAAACACGATATTTATTAGCTGCTTAAATATCATAGGTTAGTGACTCTCAAACGTTATTAGTCATATGCCCTCTTTTCAGGTTTGAAAAGTTCTCGCACTCCATCATCCAGTTCATATGCAAAAATCTTTAAAAGTATTGACGTTTTTTTGGTTGTTTTGGGTTATTTTCACGTAACATAGTTTTGGAACAGTAATATATATATATAAAACAAAATGTTTGTTAATAATATGACATGCTTTTAACTTGACACTCCATCATCATGTGTTCTCTTTACTGTAATATTTTACTTAATTACATGCAAATTGAAAGATTTAATCAAACGTATAACAGTATTTGGTTCTTCAGTATTTTGTTTAGAGGTATTGATGCAGAGTGAAGCTGAAAACCGCAATGACTGTACGTCGAGATCGTAATAACATTCCTACCCCACGTTTGCACTGATGATCGTAATATCTCTACTTTGTGTCCATACTAATACCTCTATCATGTGATTGTACCAACAATCTGAATATGTACGCTCCGTGAACCTAATGACAACTACAGTATTAACTAACATATTATTGGTATCCAATGAGCATGTTGATAATGATAACGCTACAATTATATGTACGTACTAACAATCACAATACCACTACTCCGGAACCGTATTAACAATACGAATACCTGTACTTAGTGCTTATTCTAATAATATTTTAATTTTTTTTAAGTTTTCAGTGCTGTCTAAAGGATGGAAATCATTTTCAATGAAGACGACAAACAGCTTCTGATAAATTTTTTATTCTACCCAACGTTTCGCCTAACGTCTTTTTCAATGGTCTTTGGACGTCACAGATTACAAAATTTTTATAACCTGTGACGTACAAAGACTCTTAAAAAATGTGCACGCCGAAACTTCGGGTAAAATAAAAAAACATTTATTTGAAGTTGTTTGCTTCATTGAAAACGTTCTAACACTATTTAAATTATATTGACGGTCTTAATATTTCTCTTCAGTGATCATACTAACAATACAAAATCACTTCCTGTGACTATACTACAAGTCCCAATGTCTCTATACTCCTAACAGTAATAAAAACCACATGGTTTCTACTTCATTATCATACTAACAATATGATATCTCTTCATGTGACCGTACTAAAAGTCCCAATGTCTTTATATTCCTAACTATAATAAACACCACATTATTTCTACTTCATAGCATACTAACAATATAATATCTCTTCCTGTGACCAAACTAGCAGTCCCAATGTCTCTATACTCCTAACAGTAATAAAAACCACATGATTTCTACTTCATAGCATACTAACAATATAATATCTCTTCCTGTGATCAAACTAGCAGTCCCAATGTCTCTATACTCCTAACAGTAATAAAAACCACATGGTTTCTACTTCATAGCATACTAACAATATAATATCTCTTCCTGTGATCAAACTAGCAGTCCCAATGTCTCTATACTCCTAACAGTAATAAAAACCACATGGTTTCTACTTCATTATCATACTAACAAGATGATATCTCTTCATGTGACCGTACTAGAAGTTCCAATGTCTTTATATTCCTAACTATAATAAACACCACATTATTTCTACTTCATAGCATACTAACAATATAATATCTCTTCCTGTGACCAAACTAGCAGTCCCAATGTCTCTATACTCCTAACTGCAATAACAACAGTATTTTATTTAATTAACATACTAACAATATAATATCTATTCCTGTGACCAAACTAGCAGTAATAATGTCTCTACACTCTCAACTGTATTAGCAACCACAGTATTTCTACTTCCTGAGAATACTAACAATGTAATATTACTGCTGCGTGACTAGACTAATAATTCCACTATCTCTGTTCTGTGGTAGTGCTGTGAACAATGCGTTACCGCTTTAACAATGTAAAGATCTTTATTTCGTGATGTACTAAGAGTTCCAATGTAGCTACTCCATACACGCATTACCAAATTCAAACATTTGTGCTACGTGACAACCCTAAAAATCCCAATGTCTCCACTACTCCGTATAAGTATTGAAATAGTACGTGTTTAAGAAAGTTAGTTGAAGTCTATAAAATTTTTATAGCTTTATACCGACATTTTTTAGCATCGGTCAAACTTTTTTTATATTTATCGAGACTTTTCTTGTACTTGAATACACGATTATCTCATTTTCGGAAGACGACGGTGGTTTTAAACGTTGCTGACAGATTACGGTCCGCGCGTGACTTCTTCCAGGTTTTGTTCTTACAGCTAAATATGGCTTTGAAGTTTTCCCGAAACTTGGAGTTCATGAAACAGTAAGTGATTGGGTTACAACAAGAGGATGTGTAAGCCAGTAAGTGGAAGAAAGAGATACCGTAGTAACCCAGTCCTTGGTAAACAACGACAGGATAAAAAAGAGTGATAGTGTTAAGTACATAAATAGGTGACCAGCAGAGAAAGAATTCTAAAACCACAACAAATAACATTTTGATGACACGTCGTTTTTGTGAGAGGGATCTGTCTGGATTGGTAACAGCCTGTACTGATATGATGTTCGCTTCTCGGGTGGTTTGACGGTCAGTGGTCAGTACACAACTAGATGAAGAGGACGGAGAGTTAGGGTCAGTTCGTACAAGGATACTACGTAAGGTTTTCCGACTTAAAAACTGGCGGTCGTTCACTGGACTCGGATTTTCACCATCTAAGAAGAATATAAAGTAATGAGATATTTTACAAAAGCAAGTTGATAAAAGGGTTAATATTGTCTATTTTTACTCTCTCAGTCACTCTGAAAAACCGTATGAAACTTTATTTAGCGGAGTAATAAAATTTCTAATAATCAAATGAGAAAATAACTCGAATGGTTTTGTGATCGATGAGAAGAAACTATAAAATGTCACTATAGTAACAATTGGAAGTAATGGTTTTCGTTTAGGAATATCGAGTTTAGTCTATATTAACATAATAAAGGTAAACGTCAACTAAGACAAGATGGAGTAACCTTTATTGAACGTAACATGGGAGCGCATAGCTCTCCACAAAGTGGCGGTGATGAGAGAATAAGTGACGACCATAATAAACAGAGGCACCACCAGGAGGAGCACGTCCAGAAGGATATTAAACAGACGTTCGAGAGCGATGTTAGGCCAACTTTCTCGACATTTATATTTATCTATGGGAAATAAGATACACGAGAAAAGAGTAATTAGATTCTAGATTAACTTGTTTAGAAGCTTTTCCTGGAATAAACCAATCAATAATGATAAGAAAAGCAACAACAAAAAATAATGTTTAAAACTATACTACTTTTGTTCACGCAAGAAGTACCTCTTATTGGATTGAGTTTTGTTGTTCAGTTTTCGATTCAAATAGTAAATTGTCTGTTTATTCAATCAAAATTACATATTTTAAAAATCAGTTTGGAGAAAATTTATTTTCAAAGATTTTGATATGACGTCATTAAATATTAGAATATTGCTTTCAAATCGAGGCTCTTAAATAATTGCCTAGAGTTAGATTTTTTTTAAACATTGCTTCTATAATTGTTTCTGTGTATTTCGTTGCGCAAAGTTACACAATGGGCTACCTGAACTCTCTCCACCGCAAGGAACCGAATCCACGATTTAAGATTTTGTAAGTCTGTAAACTTACTGTTGATCTACCGTGGGGCACCTTTGTCAAAAGCGTAATAAAAAAATAAAATTAATAAAGATATTTTCTCTGTGATTGAGAACAAGAAGAATTAGGCGACCTCTGTTAAATATATATTTTGAAAATTGAAGATGTTCAGTCTATCAAATAACACCGGTAGAAAGAAGTGTTAAGTGTTTATTTTAATAATTATTAACGTTTAACACAATGTCTGATAGTTAGTTTATTCTCAAGTGGATTGAGCGCACATAGCCCATTGTGTAACTTTGTACCGAAAATCAACAACAATAACGACAAATTAGTTTATTACATGAGTTGTTTAAAATATATGATAGTTAGTTTATCTTCTATAGCCCAGCCATTAACATAAACTAGTGGTGTTGAGAATGTGGGCAACTAGAAACCACTTCTCAACACAGCCCCCTTTAAGAACAATGCATTTACTTCATTGTTTACCGAGCATCATCCTACGAGTTCAGTAAAATTCAGGGGTATGGAACTTCGATTTCAAGTACACACAGCTGATTTAAGAAAATTAATTATCTGGAAGGATTTTTCATACGATTGTTCTTGAAATGACCAAAAAGACGGAAGTCGGGAACAAATACTGGGTGTGGATGAAATATTCACCAAAAGTTTTCATCTTCAGTCGTTTCGCATGAACAATATATGATAAGGAATCAATGCCGAATGTAATTGTCTTTTGTTATTGCTTTGTGTGCTTTTTGTGCTAACCTATAACTTGTAACGAATGGATACTGATCTACTGATTGTTTGTTGAAAGCTATTCTCTTTTATAAGCATAAGGGGAAAATTTGTTGTCTTCTTTAACGCTTTTCGTAAGATGTATAATAATTCAGAAGTATCTCAGAACGAACATTATTTCTAAGTAGTGTGTACAGACTATAAAATGAAAAGTGAAAAGTCAGTATATCATTTATATATTTCTTAAAAAATAATAAAAGACAACTCGAAAGCATGGTAAAACATAACAAAAAAAAAATATACTAGAAAAATTCTACTCTGTCGTGCTTTTAAAAATTTCATTTAACACGGGTTGGACAATAAAATATTCTGATTGTTGATTGCACTTGAAACTATTTTTTCCATTGTCAATCGTGTTTAGGCTTTAGGTTTGTTTGGAATTTTGTGTAAAGCTACACGAGGGCTATCTGCGCTCGTCGTCCCTAATTTAGCAGTGATAGACTAGAGGGAAGGCAGCTAGTCAACACTACTCACCGTCAAACCTTGGGCTATTCTTTTACAAATAATAGTGGGATTGACTACTATACTGTAACACCACCGGGGCTAAAAGGACGAGCATGTTCGGTGGCGGAGATGAACAAACCTATCTTCAATCAGAGCTCTCTCCCCTGTATGTTTGACGTTGAAAAACTCAAATCGTGGTTCATATAAACGTGGTTGTATTATAACAGCGGTAGTTGTTCAATAACTTTCTCTTGATAGTCGCCAGAAGATTTCATTCCTGCATGAAGTGCTCAAGGAAAGTTTTATTTAAGGTTCAAAATAAGCTTCTCAAAACCGACTAGGCCATTACCCGAATTTTCTTGATAGACAACATATTTTACTGCCTGAAGGGTAACCGCCATTAAGGAGATGAGTTACGAAGATTTTCATATTTTCTTTTCCACAATCTGAGTAAAAGGAAGCAGGCTTATAAAGTGCATCTTATGATTTTGCTCAAAGGTTTGTTTGTGCTTCCTGCAAGGTGTTAGTGAATGTAATAAATAAACGTTAAGTAAAAAGAAAAAATCTAATGTAAAGGAATGTGGGTTTTCCATGAATTTATTTCGCTGAGGAAGATATTGAAATATTACATTAATAGCTTAATTTGTTATAAAATGTTGGCAAATCACCCTTAGTCATGAACCAGAGAACTATCTATATTCCTTAAAGACGCACAAGTTCCACAGTGGGATATTGGTAAGTTTATGCAATTAAAACGCTAAAGTCTGGGGGTTCGACCCCCCCCCCCCCCGTTGAACACAGCAGATAGCCCAGTGTAGCTTTGCTCTAAAACAAACAAACAAAATACGCTTAATAATAGCTCAGAGGTAAGTATGCGAATTTATAATGTTAAAAACTAGGTTTCGATACCCTTGGTGAACACAGCACAGACAGCCCATTGTGTAGCTTTGTACTTAACTACAAACAAACCATTTTCCATAAGTTCCAATATTATGAAGTTCCTACATTTATGTAGGTAGAAACAAAGTGAGAGACACAGTGAAACTACTTGAACATACAGAGAATGTTTGATGATAACAGCATTTTAACTTTCATTTTACTGACGGAGCTTGCAATAGTGCATTTGAAGGATACGTACAATTAGAAAATAAATAAAAAGCATTATTTTCTGAAACACTTGATTACAGACTACGAAAAAAGATTTATATTGGAAAAGGAAATATATATTGAATGTAATTGGTAAATAATTAGTTATTTTTTCCTAGTTTAATTGTATTACCAAATTATTAGTCATCCAAATTGACAAGAGAGTAAAATATTCTTCAAACGTACCCATTGCAACGAAGGAGAGAAAAACCACAAGCGGACAACAGAGAAACGAGGGAGAATAATAAAAATAGAAATAATAACGAGAAAAAAATAGAGCCGGGAAGAATCGTCTGCACTATCAATTATTTAAAGGACTGCGAGCTGTACAACTGTTCAAAAACTTCTATTTATCGAATATCCAATTTATTTTCAATCGCGAAAACAGAATGCGTTAAATCTTAGGCTCGAGCTATTATTTTAATGACCGATATCCTTCGAGGGAAGATGTATATATATTATATAAATTAGTAAAGCGTTGCGAGCGAGAATAATGAAATAGGGAAGAAAAAAACCAAAAACAATTGTTCTTAAAACGTAAGTTTCTTGCTGCTATATGTGGCTATTGCAACTCATTAAGTTTATAGGCATTTCAATTAACCTTTTCTGTTAAAAAAACAACAACAAAAACACCTCCCTCCGATTCATCGTTACTATGTGGTTGTTTTAAATCACCTTTCTGTTGATGATTGAACCAAAAATTGATTCATTATAATATGCTCTAGTGAAGATATATATATATATATATATATATATATA